GTGTGTATGGGTATGGTTTTCAGCAAGGCTATAGTCATTATAATTATATAGATATGCATTTTTGTTTCTGTGGTTTTGTTATCTTTGCTTTTGTAGGTGTGGAGCCAAGATGTCGGGTGTGTTGTCTTGTGTTTTCTCAACATATATTTCACATATCTTCTAATCTCTCTTTCACTCTTTCTCATTAAATTTCACTTTTTTCCTTTCTCTTTCTTTTTCTCCTATTAAAAAAGCCACTGATGATGAAGAAGCTAAGATACTAATATTCAGATATTCAGTTCTGCTTTCTACTGAAGTGGCAAAAAAACAAAAATAAATAAATAAATAAAACTTTTTTCTTTTAATGAAAAGCTAACAATGACCTGTATCTTGTGTACCTGAATGAAAGGACGAGGTATGGTACAGTCTTTTGTTGTTACCAGGTCTCCAGCACACACAAAGAGCTGAGAATTATCTGAAACCTTTTGGTTTGACTAAGTGGAACAGCTTGTCTGTTGACAATTTAAAACCTTTTGTCTGTTTTTTTGTGGAAATATATATATTTTTGACATTGAGTCGGTTTAAAGAGAGGTGAGCTCCTCAGCCAAGCAGAGATTTTGGAATTTGTGCTGAAAAAGTTCAACAGGTTAAACTCGGTGCTGCAGTTTAGGGATGTTTCAGGATGCTGCAACCAATTGACTCCACAGGTAATGTTGTGTTAATCTGAAATAAAAAAAATTGTCTATTTTTTGGTGAAAGTGGTCACATTTTTGCTGCTGTGAGAGAGCAAATTCACAACAAGAGTGACTTTTTTCTGTTTGATGCAGTCAAAATATTAGATTCTCTTCTTGTTTTTTTTTTTTTTTCGTGGGGATTGCACAAAACCTAATGTAAAAATGTTTACAGTCACATGGATTAAATGAAGTATGCAAACACCAAAAAAACGTTTTTGTAATTGTGTCTTTTGTGTTTGGTAAACTTGCTGCACACCTACGAAGTGTCGCTACATTTATTTCAAAACACAAAACCACCAGACTTTTCCTTACTTAGTCTTTAACATATTGAACACCATATAATGAGTGACTGAACAGTTGATTATTTCAAACACAAATTCAAATGTTTAAATAGTAAATCTGTGTAAATGGGYGAATTCATCAACATAGTCAGACTAAAATACAAAAAAGATAAAATCTCAGAGCCGTGACACAAAAAAGAAAAGCCATAAACCTGCACAATAAGCCTAACAAAACCCATCAGCCATGACAGATTTGGCTTTTACAAGCTAATTGAGCCACAATTTCTTTCTCAATGCTTTGAGTTTCAGTCTTCTGGGAGCAATTAAACTGTGTGACTCGTCTCTGGAAATGTGTGTTTGTGCTGAATACCATGATGTTGCTCCATATTCTGCACAAGAACAACAAAAATATCCCAAATACAAATAAGATGCATCAATTAATTTTATAATCAATTTATTTCAACAGAAAGCTTGATGAGCAAAACCATGTTTGAAGACAAATTTCAAACGATTGTCTTCTGTTCTGCTTCTGTTATGATTTTTTAAACATAAAACCAACCAGTACAAAAAAAAAATACACTCATTCTGATTCACTTTTCAATCTCCAGTATTTAACATTGCACAAAACGTGATTCACATGGTTTGATCAAAACCAGTTTAACTTTGTGCCTTTTTTTAAGTTGATCTTGGCTCCAAACTCTTTCATGAAAGGTGGCGGGCGATATGCATTATTTGGTGGAACACCAGGCCTTTAATTGCATTCTTTCCTCAGTGAGGTGAAATAAATAAAGTGCTTCATGATGATCAAGTCCCTCTATTTTCATAAGTCATGATCTTTGTGGAAATATCTTTCTTGTGCCGTCATATCAGAGGGGATCAAAGGATATAAAAATAATCTCAGTTTAGACTCTGCAGTGTCTGACTGTCTGGCCTTAAGAACCGGAGTTTATGAAAAGAAATCAGCATTCAGCAGCGGTCAGGAGAGATCAGGCTGAGGATATGCAGGTTAAGGACTGAGATAATCAAATTGTTGGCTTACAGACTGTAGGATGAGACGTATGACACAGGCCCAGGAGTAAAGGAGCTGATTTCATTAAACGCAGGTGTTATTGTTGAAATAAGTTTGTCATAAATGATTACACTTTAAAAATAAAGTTTAAACAATGAACAGTATTAGGTTTTTGGTCTCTTGTGGAAGCTGCAGTTTTCAGTTTTGTATTAAACTAAAAAGCGTTTTTGCATGAACTTTTCCATAACCCCACTAGGGAGAACTTAACTTCTAGAWATGCTTTCGGGCAAATTACCGAGCAAATGTTGAGTTTTTGTGTTTTCAAACACATTCGTTTGAAGACTTTGGTGCACAGCTGATGAGACTTTGATTTTAATCTTCACTGTAATGAAGCACATGGAGAAAATTCTCACAAACAAGAACGAAGCCAAAACCAACGGCAGCATAATGAGGCCGAGGAGCTGCAGACTTTCTGATTAATGCTGTTTGCTGTGTTTCTCCCCGCTCAGGCTTCCCATTTACCTCCTGTCGTCTCTTCCACATCTGTTTCCCCTCGCAGTGCTGGGAGGCGTGGAGTCACGCGGCGTGCTGAGGAAGATTAGCGACATGTTGGAGGTGATTCTGAAGAGGATGGACACCTTGTCCAAACTGGACAACAGCTCCAGCACAGACGCAAGACGCCTGGATGAGCTCAGCTCGGCTATTAACAGGTACTCTGATTTTTTTTTTCAGCTTTACTTTCTAGGCTCATATTATTAATTTAATCTGAAATGAAAATATTTGCAGTGAGACGTTCAAAAAAAATCTAAATCAGTCATATATACCTGAATAATAAGGGTGTAAGGGAAAATGTATTATATAGACCTCAGGTGGAGTTAAATCACAGATAAAGTTCACAATCTGATGATTTGAAAATGTGCGAARWGAYGTAAAATAAGCTCKTTTTTTCTTTGGAAATATCTGGTAAGAAAACCTGTCCATCTGAGCTGATGATGTCATCCTCTGTTTGAATTAACGCACTCACTGTTTTTAAAAGCAGCCAATGGGGGCTTAAAACCACACAGTTCACATCCAGTAAAATGGTTTTAGTKTAATCATTATTGCAATCCTCTCTCAGTTTTTATATGAAGCCTATCAGCGAGTGTCATCCTGACATGTCAGTACTCAAAACGGATTACATTAACATTTAAAAGTCATGGATCAGACCACACCCATCTTCAGACATCATTTGTTTTAAATACTCATTTTTTTGTCTTGTTGAGCAAAAAATAAAGGTGTACTAATCCACAGTAGTTCTGCTTACAGACCGATCTCRTTTAGWCGTTCTGATACATGGCAAACATCATAAGTGCAAAATAATCCATACACCTGAGCTCATGGGTATAGACAGAGTAACTGTCAGAGCTTTGCAAGGGAACTTACTCCCTACAACACACAGACTTTATCAGCCCCACTTTTCTATTTTTGCATTGCGCTGTCATCCTCGCTTTCATTTAWAATAATTCCTCATACAATTGCTTGTGAAAATTGCTGCCTATTACCTCCCAGTCAATGCATGCAAACAGATAAGCCTCGAGTGACCTTGCTGCTCCAAGGTTTTATCTAACTGTGCCTCCGTTCGCMGCGTTAGCACTGAAATGCCCCATTTATTCTTTCTGTCCAACCTTCTCTTCATTCCGGCCTTGATTTTTCCAACAGCCTAACTAAACTCGGCAGGTGGGATGTGATGCACGCTGACAGAAATCTCCTCACTTCTTCAAACCTCGTTAAATGATCCTCGATAAGCACCCGGGTTCAGATCCATGCAGAGGCACCAGAGCAGAAGGATGGAACGATTAATATGGTCTGACGTCGGTGTTAACTGCAATCAATGTCTAGTAATAGGCTGTTTAATGCGGAGGAAGCCGTTCTGCTCGTGGGCCATTACAGGAAAGTGCTGCGCTGAGAGGTGTAACGGCGTGCTGTCACTGACCTCAACCAGAAACTTACACCTGTCCTGGAGAGGGTCAGTCCGAGGCGGAGGGAGTGATGGTCAGGGTGAAATTAAACTCAAATTAACTGTCTTTTTAAAAAATATATTATTATCCTACTGTTTGAATGAACTTTAGAGGTTAGGTGATATTTTATTCTTTATAATCCATTTGAGGTTTTGTCTTTTTTTCTTAATCAGGAGGTTCTACTTTATAACTTGAATAACTTTTTCTTATTCTCATAGTTTTATGGTTTTTAAAAATTATGTCAYCTGCTTTTCTGAGATGGTTTTGCTTTTGTTACGTCCTGTTTATCTTTACCAAATATAAGCAATGACTTTTTTTCACATTTTAAAAAATTACTGGAAGCCCATATTTCTCAAACTGAATCATTTATTAACTGATAAATCTGCCATCACAGTGGTAAAATGCACCTTAGTAAAACTACCATATTTATTCAAGTATAATACGTCAAATTTAATCCATAAAATCATCCATAAAGTTGGGGGGTAGTATTATACTCGGATAAATAT